CTTCCATGTATAAGTCTTGGAGTATGATTCATACAAATATGAATAAAATGACTCCCTTTGCCTTCTAGGAGCTTGGCTATAATGAGACAGAGATGCCAGCAGATAAAACAAGGCAGTGAAGGGAGGCCAGTGAGGATTACTTTTTGTCTAGTAATTAGGAATTATTCATTATACAGACATGTCCTCTAGTAACATTCATACTTAGGAAAGAGGTAGAAGGTAGCATTAAAGACAATGAACTCAAGAATGAGTGCTCAGATTCTGCTTCTACCACCTTATTACCTGAGTGACAATTGACTTCTCTGTGATCCTTTTTTCACTTATAAAATGGGAGTAGTAACAGTAACTGTCATAGGGTTGTTGCATCAACTAATACTGTCCTATATTTGGAAGAATACCGGATACGTATATGATAGTAATTGTTGCTCTCAATAAATTTAGCTATTTTTTTCTTAGACATAAATATTGGCAATCTAATTATGGCCATTCTAAATATGCTGTGTTGGTGCGCATTCTCCTTAGATCTTCTGAAGGGAGAAAAGTTGTCTCTAAGATGTCTATGTAGTCAAGTATATTTCTGGCATTGCCCGAGGCAAGGAAATGTTTGCAACACAGTGCTTTGGGTCAAAGCCATCATTTATTCTTAAGCACCATTTACATGTCCGGCATCCTTCTAGGCACACTAGGGATATAGCACTGGAGAGAACAGGCAACGCTCTCTGCCTGCCTGCCTGACATTCTAGTGAGGAGAGACAGACAATAAATATAATTTTAAAAGTACATTTTACAAGGTAATAGAATGTGGTGACTTTGTCAAAAAATAAATTTAAGTAGTATGGAAAACACATTTTAAACTTTAAGTAGAGTGGTCAGAGCAGGCCTGAGCAACACAGTGACACTGAAGAGTGTCTTGAAGGAAGTGAGGGAGTGAACCATGCAGCTACTTGGGAGGAGGGAATTTTAGGCAGAGAGGGCAATTACAACAAAGGCCCTGAGATGGAACGTATTTACCTAGGAATCTAGTCTAGGAGGCCATTGTGGCAAGGGCTAAGTGAGTGATAAAGGGGAAGTAGGAGGCTGGGCACAGTGGCTCACGCCTGTCATCCCAACACTTAGGAAGGCAGAGGTGGGCAGATCGCTTGAGCCCAGGAGTTCAAGAACAGTCTGGGCAATGTGGTGAAACCCCATCTCTGCAAAACATTCAATATTAGCTGGGCATGGTGGTCTGCACCTCATGGAAGCTGAAGTGGGAGGATCACTTGAGACCAGGAGGTTAAGGTTGCAGTGAGCTATGATCATGCCATTGCACTCCCGTCTGGGTGACAAAGCGAGACCCTGTCTCAAAGAAAAAAAAAAGAGAAAAGAAAAAAATTCCAGGGTAAAGGAAATAAAATGATGTTATGTTCATGGGGATGATCCAAAAAAGAGGAGGAAAGAGATGACGGGGGTGAGAAAAGAACAATGCTGGAGCACTTAACTGTTTAACTGTTGGATTGATCAGTGTATGTATGCTTCTGCAGGGCAAAAACTCAGGACAGGGAAAAAAATTCCTCTGAAAAACCAGACATTCCTAACAAACATATGAAAAAATGCTCATCATCACTGGTCATTAGAGAAATGCAAATCAAAACCACAATGAGATACCATCTCACACCAGTTAGAATGTGATCATTAAAAAGTCAGGAAACAACAGATGCTGGAGAGGATGTGGAGAAATGGGAACACTTTTACACTGTTGGTGGGAGTGTAAGTTAGTTCAATCATTGTGAAAGACAGTGTGGCGATTCCTTAGGGATCTAGAACTAGAAATACCATTTGACCCAGCAATCCCATTACTGGGTATATACCCAAAGAATTATAAATCATTCTACTATTAAGGCACATACAAACGTATGTTCATTGCAGCACTGTTCACAATAGCAAAGACTTGGAACCAACCTAAATACCCATCAATGATAAAGAAAATGTGGCACATATACACCATGGAATACCATGTAGTCATAAAAAAGAATGAGTTCATGTCCTTTGCAGGGACATGGATAATGCTGGAAACCATCATTCTCAGGAAACTAACACAGGAACAGAAAACCAAACACTGCATGTTCTCATCATAAGTGGTATTTGAACAATGAGAGCATATGGACACATGGAGGGGAACATCACACACCGAGGCCTGTTGGGGGATGGGGGACAAGGGGAGGGAGAGCATTAGGACAAATACCTAATGCATGTGGGTCTTAAAACCTAGATGAAGGGCTGATGGGTGCAAACCACCATGGCACATGTATACCTATGTAATAAACCTGAAAGTTCTGCACATGTATGCCAGAACTTAAAGTATAATTTAAAAAAAAATTTTTTAAAAGGCATTCCGTAGGTAAGGCTCTCCCTAAAATTAAAAGTCAAACTTTTACTTGCACATATGAAAAGTGCATTAAATAAGCTATTTCTTCAGTGACAGTATACTGAGTTATGCTCATGGTGTCAGGTACTTTGCATATATTATTCAGAAGCTTATTAGCAGCATCAGTACCGTTTATTGTTGCACTCTAGGTGAAGAAATTGTTGCTGGGAGCTACAACAACTTGCCCAAAGCCACAATGATCATAAGTAATTTGCACTTCGTTGTGCTCTTCTTTGCTGGTGTGAGATTCTCGAGGGCCAATGTCCTTCATCTGTGTAACTCTAGAGACTCGCCCAGACCTTGGAAGAGGTTCACATTTCCGCGTGCCGAGATCGATTATGGGCCACCCTCGGTTTCATTCGTTGACTTCCAATAAAGCATTGGCTGGTGAACATCTACATCAGCATTGTTTTCATTGGTTATAGCAACTCAGAAAAATATTGGGGAAAATACTAAAACTATCAAGAGATGTGATTGCAAGGAAATCAGAATGAGTTTAAAACCCTCCTGACCCCCGTCATTAGCTGAGGCTGTTCTCTGAGGATTTTGCAAACCTGCTTTCTGACGCATCTGGTAAACTTGCCCCGGGGCGAACTGTCAGAAGGAGGTGCGGTCACCTGGAGTTTCCCAATACATACTTCGCTGTCGGTTGAGGAAATCATCACCCGAGGACGTAAACCCTCCCGCCCCTCTTTCAGCTCTTAAAAAAAAAGCCTGCTACAAAATTCCCTACTGCGTTGCTGTGAACGTAGCTTTGAGAAGCTGGCGCCCAGTGATGGGGCAAAAAGCCAGGCCCTTCCAGCAGCCGTGAAAGCCCCAACAGCAAACTGCCTGGGAGCAGGGTAGGTCACCAACTTCGTTGCTAGAACTCCCTGGGTGCCCGCCGCGGTGGCTACAAAGAGGGTCGGGGTGCCGGACCCAGCCGCCCGGAGCCCACCATTACGGCCCGAGGGGGGCCCGACGGTGTGGCGTGGCGCAAGGAGCGAGCCTGCCTTCTCTCGCCGCCAGGAACGGGCCACACCGATGGCCAGGTGAGGAGGCGGCGGTGGTCGCTCGGAAGGAGGGGGTGGCGCCGACTCCGTGTGCCAGGAGTGCGCCCCGGGGATACTGCCTCCCCCGCTCCCGAGTTGGTTGCCGCCGGTTGCGCTGCGGAGGGTTGGGGGCGGAGAGGAGGCAGTGGCTGCCCGGGCCGAGGAGGGGCGCGCTGACTGATCACCGCGAGTCAGGAGGGGCCGGCGGGCTCACGGACGGAGACAGGGTAGGCGGGGGCAAGGGCCAGGCGCTAGGGCGGCGGCGCCAGCGTAGAGCGGCGGTTTGGAGGAAAGATGAGACGGTGAGTGGGCTCCGCGGGCGCAAAGTTTCTTTGCTTCTTTACAGGCTGTAGGGACAAAAGCCCAGGCTGGGGTCGGCAGTGCCCAGGCTGCGCAGCTGGGTGGGGGTGGGGGGGGTGACGAACCCCGTTGTGCATGACTCTCGGGGGGTTGAGGGGATCCCGCGGAGGGAATGTCTGTCTGGTAGGGGAGATGCTTCCAGAGTGATTGTAGGAAACAGGCAGGATGTGGGGGAACTGGGGGCAACTTTTTCCAACAACTCTGGAATGCACATGGAGAGAGGGATGGGGATCCTTGGGAGAGCTCCCTGAGACAGAGAAGGTCCGCTGCTGGTTGGTGTAGGGCGCGGGATTCAGAGAAGACTCCCTCCCCTCAAATATTTGGCTGGCTGCGCTTCTAGTTCCACTTTCTTTCAGGAGTGAACCTCACGAGCTTTAACAGCCAAGAGCGGCTGATTCCGATTTGGCCTTTGACCCCCCTGAAAGTTTATAGTGTGGCCGTCTCGGCACCCCTAGAGATAGCAGCTGGAAGGCTTGGGGAGTATTTTAACCCTCTGTTTCTCCAGCGCCCTGCGCGGCGGAGGCGCAGCTGAATTGTTTGCTGGTTCGTTTAATAACTTAGCCCTAGCAGTCATCACTTATTAAAGCGCCGAGGACCTGGCTAACTCCCGCCACCACCAGGAAATTAAAAGGCTGACCGGCTGTCCCTCCCAGGGTTGGGGTTTCCTGTTTGAAAGAGCTTGGGAAGTCAAACTGCTTCGCGGTTCCTCACTTACCTTTCTTATGTAAAAGAGGGAGAGACGCCCGCAGCTCTTTCTCTTGGTAAACTAGCCCGTGGCTGGAAATTCTCCGGGCGCCTGGCCCTGCCCTCTTCCCTAGAAATCTTTATCCTGCAACTCTGAAGTAGCTCTAAAGAGCTCTAGAATGCGCAGCTAGTCATAGCCAGGCACAGCTGGGAGTGTAACTAGACGAGGCATAAAAATGTGGAGTCTTTTTAGTGTAAATATTTGTCAGCCACATTTCCCTTCGTAATATGAACGTGTAAGTTACAGATGTAGATTTTCAAATTCTGGACGTGTAATTTTAAGCTTCCTAGTTTGGTTTAATTTGGGCGTTCGAGATATGTCTCTGGGATTCTAACGTTTGAATTCGGCTGGGAGAGATCTAAATGAGGTCCACAGTTTCAGAAGGTTAAACTTTTGCCCTGTGAACACTTGAATTCTTGGTTCCTGGTAGGATAGCAACAGAACAGTCGGATTTGGGATAAATAAACCGTTAGAGTTGCCCACTATTTTCACTGAATGGCTATATCTCCCTTGCCGTTGCCTTCAATTGTGTAAATATTTGTTTGAATAAAGAGCGAAGGTTCTTTGAAAAGTAACAGTTGTGTCTATTCTTGGCTCCCTTTTCATATCCTCTGCTTAGTTATTTAGAAGGATTTTCTTTGCCTCTTACATTTAATAGGGAAATTTAAACATTACATGTACTTAAATTCTGTAAAGTCTCCAAACCATTTATAACTGGCAAATGCTTTAATGACAAGGAAGAGTTGAGTTTTTGCTCTTAGTTGGCTAATGTAGCCTTCACCTCTTGAGACCCAGAGGTTTGCAGATCTCAGCCTGTCACAAGTGGAAAAATGAGATGTCTGGTTAAGAGTAGTCATCATTTCAGTCAATTTGCAGGCCTCAATCTGTTGTATGCAGCTGGCAGCTGCTGTTCTTTTGGTGTTGAGATCGACTGCCATGGGTGTCGCCTGGATCCCTATTTGAAATGGGGAGGAAAAGATACTTAGGAAATTGGACTAAGAGCTTGCTCACTCCTATGTTCAAGAACTGTGACCAAGCTGAAATTCGTTAGCAGCCTTTCCAGAAACATTTTATTTACCCTGTGTGTTTGTGTGTGTGTGCAAGAGAGGACAAAATAAGCCAAAGTGATTAACCAACCTCTAGTTTTCACTATTTTCTTCAAAGCTCCGTTTTGAGGTCTGTAAGCAAGGGTTGACTCTGGAGTGCATTGGAGAAGTTACCTCGGCTCACTGCAACTTCTGCCTCCTTGGTTCAAGCCATTTTCCTGTCTCAGCCTCCCAAGTAGCTGGGATTACAGGCGCCTGCCACCACGCCTGGCTAATTTTTGTATTTTTAGTAGTGACAGGGTTTTGCCATGTTGGTCAGGCTGGTCTACAAACTCTTGACCTCAGGTGATCCGCCTGCCTGGGCCTCCCAAAGTGCTGGGATTACAGGCATGAGCTACCACACCTGGTCTCCTTTTAAATGTTTTTAAAAGAGTAGTTAATATTATGACTTTATGTCCTAATTTTCAACCCTTAGCAGGGAGGCAGTGCTATGGTGCTGTGGATGGCTTAGAGTGATAGTGGCTTTGTATATTTTCTAGGTGGAGTACCTGTGCCTTATAAATCTATCTGTAAAGTCTTGGTGTACTTAATTATTGATTGTGTAAATGTCACTCTTTTGAAACAAAAACACCGAAGTGATGCGCTTTATCTTGAAGTCCTGACGTACATTGGAGCTGTGGTTCTCAATGGGAGAGGGGATTTGGGCCCCCAGGGGATATTGGCAAGGTATTTTTGGTGGTAACCACTGACAGGAGTAGAGTGCTACTGCCATATAGTGGGTAGAGGCCTGGGATGCGGTTCAGCATCCTGCCATGCACGGGACACAAAAACAATTATGCAGCCCCAAGCTCTGCACTAGAGTATTGCCTGGGGGAGTAGGTTAACAGGATTAGGGATCTTAAGCTAATTTGGATCCTCAAGAAACTTGTTTAACTGTGTTAAACAAGAGACCCTTATCATAGAAGCCGTTTTGTAGGCAGCAGATTCTTTTGCCCTTGCCATTTAGAGTCGTAATATACCGTAGAGGTCCAGGAACTTGTGTTCATTGTCAACTTTGAGTTGGATTAAAGTCATGGGATTTGGGAGCATTAGAGCACAAGGGAGCCTCAGAGATCACTTAATTTCTACCCCTTCTTTCTATAGATGGAAAAAACTGAGACACTCAGAACTTTAGGACTCATAAGGTCTCAAGTGAGCTAACGGCAGGCAAAGTTCTAGGTACAACCCAGGAGTTAAAAAATTTTAAATAGAGATTCAGGCAAATGGGAACCAAAACCAAAACACACGGGACCTGACCTTGTGTGAAAGTTTCAAAGCACCATTCCCTGTGAGAAGATAAATAAATGCTTCAATGGGGGAGGGGCGGCATTAGCCATAGAGAGTGTGGGGCACATGCCTGGGTGCCCCAGTCCCAGAAAGGGGTAATTCCATTATATGACCTGTGACACTCCACTTCTGATGCCTGCACCGTCCTTTCCATTGCAAAGTGGGCAACAGATGGTTCCATAGACATAGCAGATGTTGCTTTTGAATCCAGGTACAAAACAGAACATTTGAGATTTTCTGTCCCACCCTGCCTTATCGGTTAAGAGTAGAGTACATGAATAGATAGGGCTGGCTTGGACAGAAGGGAGAGTAACAGAGTCCTCCTGAGTATGGAAGAAAAGAAGACACTTGGCACATATGGAAATGAGCAAGCTTGGGGAAATTGTGGGGAAAATTCAAATTCATAAGCTGATGAGGGGATATCTAATATAAATTCAATTGCATAGAACTAGGATTAAGAATCAGAAGACAATTCAAGCTTAGCTATTCTTTCAGCATGTAGAACAAAATAACTCTGGGGGTAAAAGGAACCTTAGAAATCCTCTTATCTGAATCTTTTCCCTCCAACCAACTAACTGGGTTAGATAGCAGCAGAATCTGCAAGCCTCCTGTTCTATTGCACTTTCTCTTGTACCCACAGTCTCTACCATTCCATGTGTTTACCTAATGGGAAAGAAAATGATAGTAAAGAAAGTTATTGTTAATTACTTGGGAGAGTTTAAAAAGCATGGTATTTATGAATGGCTCTGTTTATAGAAAGGAGTTATCTCGATGAGTTTTTGATTATCAGAAAAGTTGTACACCATAGCCTGATTAATTACAAACATGTGTACTCTCCTGTTTACATTGCTATGATTAACCATTAGGCTCATGATTATGGATTCTAGTTCTGGGTGCCAGGTGGTCCTGCTGTGGTAGTTATTTTATCTAATACTCAAATCTGACAGGTTCTGGCCATGTGGGAAAGTTTTTAATGTGCCTTTGGTGGAAGACATAAAACCTCTGAAAGTGTTAAGATAGTTTCTTATCATTTTGACAGCTAGCCAACGGGTGTACCTCAAAGCCAAGTACATAGTAATATATTTAGAAATGACTCAAGAGTGATGGCCCTTTTAAGCGATCTGCCCCCTTGCAGGTACTAGGCAAAAGAGGTGTAGCAGTCTTTTCATCATCACCTTTTATCTGGCCATTCTTGTTACTGTTTTTCAGATGATGGGAGAGGAGACAGGAATAATTTTTTAAAAAATAACTGTTGGTTAAAAATATTTATAGGGATTTGATTAAAGTAACTTGTCTTTTGAAAATAAATAAAACCAAAATTGGTAGGTCAGGTTTTCAAATCCCTTCAAAGTAAACATTTAGCCAGGCAGAACCTATCTCTACTTTCATCCAGGAATTTGAACCTTCCGGGAGTTAATTTGCTTACAGTTGTTTTCATGACGTTTAAGGATGTTTCTTAGACATTGCAGAAAAGAAGCTTCGTGCTGTATCTGCTTTAAAGGCAAGATTGTTGTCTATAGCAA